AGTAGTAACAAGTGCCTTACTAGTAGTAACAAGAAGCTACTAGTAACGCGTCCTTTTGGCCTAAAACCTTGCACCCCCCCGGCGTTGATGGCGTGCAACGTGCGACGGGGATTTCAAGAGACTTCGGGCCGTTCGGCGGCCGTTGGCTTTTCACCGAGACTTCCAGTCAATTTCGGAAGGGCAATGGAAGCCTTTCATATCCTTTCATCTTCACTCAGTTGCCAAATCAGTCTTAAACAATCAGCCGAATCGTCGTTTTTCAATGTCTAATCGCTTTGCAAATTGCCAATGAGTGTCAATTGACATCACACGAGTTGGGGAGTCTCTCGGTACTGAATTTGTACGTCTCCACGGACAGCATGGTGCCGATGTTTTTGCATTGTTTTGCCTTCATAGTGTAACAAGGATCCCCCTTGTTTTGGTATTGCATGCTGCTAGTCGCCAGTCTCATGAATGTATAGCCTTGTCATTTTGAGAAAACAGAACTGCGCGTTTACGAGGCACGTCATCGCTCGTAGTTTGCTGAGGGGTCTATGGTTCCAGTTACTCCGGAATACAGCTCCATGGCCTTGGTGTGGTGGCAGGTTGGGGTGCAGGTTTGTGCTCAATTAGGTTGGAGGCCATTGCTAGTAATGCTAGTAATCCTGAATTTCCATTTGATGCTCAATTGGGTTGAAATCCTGAATTCTAGACTTGGCCTTGCGCAAACTACGCCCTCGATGCAAACCTGTTTTTGGGGCCGGGGGAGGTTTCATGATCAAACCCTTTTTACTTTTTTCACAGGAAATTGCAAACAAAGGCATTCGTTTCAGGAACGAGCAGAGAGCTACCAGCAGCTACCACTCTTCACAACGAGAGATGTTTATCGGATGAAGTGGAGATGCCGCTTTTTCGAAGAGACTTGTCCTTGGCCATCCAAGACTTGGACGTGACATGTTTCCTATTTGGGTGCTGCGTTCTTTTCAAGGCCCGTGGCCCTGCCTCGTTACTTAATTAAGTAGGCACCTATTCAATTAAGGGAGTATGCTCCTAGCTACTCAAGCTAATACATAGGGATGCGGCACTAATTATTTGGCTCCTGGATTCTTAGGGAAACTTAACTGCCACATACGGCTTTATTGTGCCCGCTCCACAGGTATCACTTTCCACACAAATGCTTGCGTCAATGTGCCGTATCTACATGATGACAATACAGCGAAACGCAATTATCCTACCAGACGGCCCTAAAATGAAAAAAAAGCAACCAAAGCAGCAGCATGACCAATTGGGCGGAAGGCCCTTCCATTTGTTGAATGGGAATGCATACCGTGGCCCATCGCAGCCCTCAGCATTCGCATATCGAACTGCTACTAGTGGCAGGGATGCTATTATGTGGAGGCCATCGCAAGTAGGTTGGAGGCCATCGCTGCTAGTAACAAGAAGCTACTAGGAGGTTTAACATGCGGTACAGCAGTACGGCGACACGAGTGTTACAGCAGTAGGGACTGCTAAAATCGTAGGATATCATGCTGCAAAACGCTTACAGCTTATCAGCAACCACTGACGTGCACTGAATGAGTTTCTGTAGGGATTGGAGCAAGGATGAGCAAGGAATTGGGAGACCTATTGTGCTGCTGATGAAATGAGCATCAGAGGGCTATGGTTTCTGGATGCCAACCTACTAGGAATGACCTCCAACCCAAGAGCAGTGGCCTTCAACCGACTAGCAGTTACTAGCAATGGCCTCCAACCTAATGGCAATGGCCACTCACCTAAGAGCGATGGCCACTAACCTAAGAGCAATGGCCTCCAACCTACTAGCGATGGCCTTTGGCCTCCAAATGCGAGAGGTCTTGGTTTTAATCTCTAGGGTCTTTGCTCGCCTACAGTTACAGCTGCCGCTGTGGGATTTGTGAGGTCGGGATTCCAAAGCAGAGAGCGAGGACTTGACGGTCGAAGTGGAGCAACCAGGTTTAAGGTTGGGAGAAACAAAGTTGGCGTCCAAGTTCCTTGGAAAAAGTTGCTCCACTTCAATTGAAGTGAAATGTCAGATGCCTAGGGCAGAAGAAATTTGGACAAGTAGTTAGTATTAGTCAGAGGTCGGCTGAGTGATGATAACATGAAGGATAGCTTGCAGATGTTCAAGTTTTCCGTGTAAAGCATTGGACACCCTTTTCAAGGTTCTTTTGTTCAATCTAGCGTCATGGATTGGATGCACACAACAGCCAGATAAACCCTTCAGCGCACCAAATTTTTTGGCAAAGGCCGCTGTAAACCACCATAAGCATCCACCTTCTCAGTCAGAAAGATATACCCAAGTTGTGCTCGGCTGATTTTTTTGGACATGTTTGGAAATTTTCTGAAGTTACTTTAATAAGCAGGCCGTCGATGTTGTTTGTCAAACAAGGACTCACATAGGGTCAAAAGAACTTGGAATTGAGGGATAGTGCAATACCAGTAACCAGTAGGTTGGAGGCCATCGCGCTACTAGGTTATCACTAGGTTATCAGGTTGGAGCCCATCGCTCTTAACTTGGAGGCCATCGCTAGTAGGTTGGAGCCCATTGCCGCTTGTTTGTATAAAGGCTAGGGAAGTGTGTGTGCAAGAAAGCTAGTAGGAACAAGTGCATCGCTAGTAGTAACAAGTGCCTTACTAGTAGTAACAAGGACGCTACTAGGAACAAGTGTGTCCTCGTTCTTTTCTCGAAGCAGGAGGCCGCTGAGCCGAAGGAACAGAAGCGGAAGCGCAGGCATTGCCGGCCCCGCTGCGCCGGCGTACGTCCCAAAGGCGAATCTTCAAAGCGAGTTGCTCCTAGTAGCGTCCTTGTTACTACTAGTAAGGCACCTGTTACTACTAGCGTGGCACTTGTTCCTAGTAGCGTCCTTGTTCCTAGTAGCAAGAATGCTCCTAGTAGCGATGCCCTTTGCTCCTAGTAGTATGGCCAGGAGCCCCTAGTAGCGTCCGTTTTTTTCTCTCCAAAAATATTTGAAAAGACAAGGGAATTATTTGCCAAGCTGGCACCAAATGCAGCAAAGACCAACACAAAGGACGACCGGTAAGTTCCTATACAAGGAAGCAGTCGTTCAGCATCAGTCGACAAACCGATCGCATGGCCCTCCCTTTGTTGCAGCACCAAGATGTCTGGCTTTCACCAGTGAGAAGCCACCAAGAACACTCCACACTGCAGTGAGAAACCATAAGCAAAGCTTCATAGCTGTTGCAAATCAATGACCTAGAGGCGACTTGGTATTGCGAACCATTCTCCGGCAAAGCCTTGAGCAGTTGTTTACGAGTTGCGTGATGTGATGGGTTGCTCGGTGATACTTGTTTATGCTTCTTGGACATTGCAACATGGAGCTGCGTCGCTGGGGTGAGGCTGCCCTACCACAGAACCCATACTACTTCACCGTGGAGCTTCCGCATAGTCCCGATAACTTCAGATACAGCATTTTTCCCTCGAGGATCAACATTTTCCAATGAAGGACTGGTCTGTAATGCATGGTTTTAATCACCAAGTTAATGTTTTTTTTCGTCAAGTGGTCACTTCTTTCCAACGTACGGAATGTAAACATATACTGTGCACCACAAGCCCTCGGCTTGAGCGCTCAATGCTCTCATTTGGGTTTTTGCAGCTTCCGGGCGCGGCCGATGTGGAAGAAACCATGAGATGCTATCGACAAGCGCAATGACGCAAAAAGAAAAAGAACACAGTCGTCTAGATTTCCCTTCTTGTTTTTTCATGAATCCTTGAATTTGGTGCCTTGGGTGCCTTGACTTGTGTTCGATTGTATGATTAGTTTGTGATACTTTTCTATTCCAGTCGCTCCACATGTGCGTAGTGCTTTACTTGCACTTCACCACCGGTAGGAACGTCGCACTACCGCCGGGAGCTCCCCTTGTGTGTTGCCGCCATCGGGATTCTCTACCGTTTTGTGTTTTCCATTGACAAATGTCCATATCGGACACAGCAACGAAGAGCCTGTCTATATAACTACCTCCGATTCCCTGAAAACCTACCTATGGACGTTGGCAAAGTGAGCTTTTATTTGGAGGCCATCGCTGTTAGGTTGGACACCCAGCCAAAAATGCACAGACCGTAGGTCATGGGCTGAACTGTGCGCCAGGCGACCAACAGATGTGCTCCTGCAGCAACTGGTGGAGAAACGCCAGAGGGAGGCAACTCGACACAAATCAGATGACGATGTGACACACTGCGAAGCAAAACGCCATCGAGCATGCAACATCAACTTAGTCAACACAAATGGAAGATAGTCAGCGCAGTCCATCCCAATGGCAAGAGTGAGTTCTGTTGTGTGGGCTGATGAAGGACGCTACTAGGGGCTCCTGGCCCTACTACTAGGAGCAATGGGCATCGCTACTAGGAGCAACGAATGCTCATCCTCAACTCTTGAAATTGACCAATCCATGTTGCAACGATGGTGCCACCGGCAGGCTGATGCAGAACAGCAGCAGGCCTCGGAGGAAGAGGCGCCGGTGGCGAGGGACAGCTGCAGGGATTTCACGGGTGACTGGCTTCGTTCGAGAATATTGAATAGAGGACGACACATCAGGGGAGACCCCATGGAGATCCCATCCTCTGATGGGAAAAGAGGCCGATCAGGAATCAATGAAAAGCTTGCCGTCGCTGAGTGGCGAACGACTGATGTCGAATGAGACCTGCAACCAGTGGAGTGACATCGAGTTACTGAGTGGGTGACAGGGTGACAGTGTGCAAGCATGTGCCTGTATGGGCCCTTGGCCCATATTCTTTTGCCTACGCTGCACGCTGTTTGTTCTGAATAGACATGACAGCGGAGGAACATGTTAATACCAGTCGACTGATCTAAATTATCCTTGCTGTGGAGGCCATCGCTAGTAGGTTGAAGGCCATTGCTATGAGTAGCTTCGCTGGCTTTGGCTGCTTCCTTCCCACAGGTCAGGATGGTCGCCATGGAGATGCGCCAAGTCAGAGGCATCAGAATGAAGAGAGCATGTCCGGTTTATGGACTTCTCATCAGACTACCAACTTACAGTCTAGAGTCTATTGAGTTGAGCAGAAATCACCACACTTCTGGAAGAACACATCAGAAACTCATCGTTTTTTGTCGTTCCTCGACCTCGTCTTTGCAGTCAAGCTTAAGCGGATGGCGCGGGACGCGAAGAACGCAGAGCGTGCCAAGCGCATGGAGTGGCTGCTGCTGCAACGCATCGAGCCTGAGGCGCACGGGGCGGAACGGCGAGCTCTCAAGAAACGCAACACGCTCCTCGACACCCTGAGTTCTCCCAGTGTACTAGGAGCAAAGGGCATCGCTGCTAGGAGCAAGGACGCTACTTTGAAGGGAGAGGCACCACCCCGCATGACGCACGGCCGACTGTGCTTGTGACCGCTCAGCCCGTGCTGCTGAAAGCGGACCTTTGCGATGAGGAGAGGCAGGCACAAAATAAGGAGAGGTCCGCAGGGGCTGGGAGGCGCCAAACGCAAGGGCTGTTTAGGGTGCCATTGGCTGTGGCTGGGAGTGCGGCGGACACTTGTTCGAGCTCTTAGACTTGGGGCTGCCCAAATGTTCCGCATATGAATGGGAACAAGAAGCTACTAGTAGCAAAGGGCATCGCTACTAGGAGCAAGGATGCTACTAGGGGCTCCTGGCATCGCTACTAGTAACAAGCAGCTAGGAATCTTGCTCCTTGGCTCCATGATGGTCCCTCATGTGGCACATGACCTGCTTGGTCCAGGAAGAGTTGGACCACCGTGTGTGGGAGTTGTACGGCGGCGCAGACAAAGAGGAACACGTATACCGAGAATGGTGCCTTGGAATCGAAACAAAAGGAACAGGAGGACGCTACTAGGAGCAAAGGGCATCGCTACTAGGAGCAATAGGCATCGCTACTAGGGGCGCTCATGGCCTGACTACTAGGAACGAGAAGATACTAGTAGCAGAGACAAATTGGAAAACAACATACATAGCCAACCAGCCTGTTTTGCATTCATCAGACGGGGCAAAAACGCATAGGAATCAACCGGGTTCATGGATTAGTTGCTAATCCGGTGCAACCATCTTGTTTGAGTAGCAGATGCTCAGCACGCAGTGGCATATGCAAAGGATTTGGTTGGTGTCAGGGGTTCTGCAGTTGGCCTTTTAGGCTCTAATAATCTAATCGGCCTTAATGCGTTGGAGTTTCACGCAAGTGCACTTGGTGGATTTGTCATATCCACAACGACCAATTGTCAAGCATCCTCCTTTCAACGGCAGAAACAGCACAAAGACCCAATTATTAGGTTGGAAGTTAGAAGCTATTAGGTTGGAGGCCATTGCTACTAGGGTGGAGGCCATCGCTATTCTGTTGGAGGCCATCGCTTCACTAGGTTGTATGCGACTTAACAGCCCTTTTGGTGTTCCTTTTGCCATCAGCTACTCGGTCAGGTTTTGTTTAGATCGATCAAGGCCCTCCATACTCCATAGGACCGGCTAGCTTTGGCACCCTGTGAACTTGCCTGTGCACAATAGCATTGCGAATAGCATACAACATATTAGATGTTGTTTGATGCCTTTAAAGGCTGAGCATTCCTGTTGGAGACTCCAAATTTATCCTATACTGAGCTCAGTATATTATGTTCCACACTGGTGGCATGATCCATAACCTCCAGAACTTTCTGTGGTGAGTGTTTTTCCCATTTTTGCATGCAGCTGCGCTGCTGTGGTTTCTCTTTAGTTGGCTTTAGCTAGTCCACAGGCCCATGAATCTGGTGAATAGTGAGCCACGACCAATAGGGCACAAGCACTTGCTGAGAGACAGGTTCCCACAAGCTGCCTGTGTTCCATCGGACCGATTTCTGAGCGAGCATGCTAGCACCCCTCTACCAAGACCGCCGTACACGTTTAACACACCAAGCAAGTACTCCTTATAGGGGGCAACTTGCTCTACACCCCCTTGATCCTACATGCAGAGTGGAGCGGCACTTAGTGCTGGTTTGTATCTAATTGCTGAACCGAGCTTCCAACAGCACTGACAAAAGCTGGGGCAGTTCAGAACAACACATCATTTACGCCTCGGCAAAAGTGCTAATCGGTTGGTGCTTCCGAGTGTGCGGGGTGGCCCTCCATGAGAGGGCTCCGTGTACAACGTCGGATTCACGTTAGCCTTGTGAGGGCCATGGGCAAGCTGGTTGCACTCTGTGTATTTTTAACGATTTTTGAATTTTTAATTCGGTTTTAGACCTTTTTTGCGTTGTTTTTTTCCTTTGCATTGCTCGTTGCACCTGACCTACTCGCTTTCGACTTCGCCTGTTCCACAGCCTCGTCACCTCGAGCGCCAGTGGTTTGGGGCCATTCAGGCACCTGTTCAGTTCACTCATTGTCACGAGTGCAGTATGTCATGAGCCTGCCCACTTTGCAGCTTTTGTGGGGGATGCGCGAATACCGCGCGGTCCAAGGCGTCTTTGGGTGCCCTGACTCGCCCACATCGCTCGTGCCCAGCCTACTCACCCTCTTTCTTTTTTCCTTTAGATTTGTTTCCTTTAGACCTTGACCATCTTTTTCGCTCTTTTCTGTCATTTCTTTAGACATATTATGACATATTTATTTCTTTTCTTATTGTTCTTTTTAGACTCTAGACCTTTAGAATCCTTTAGACCTTTTCTTATTTTTTTCGCCTTTTTGGTGGTATACTTTTCTTTCTAGACATCTGCCCTGTCACACAGGTCGCGGCCATTCGCGGCCGTCCGATTTGGTGTTTCCCCACCTTCGAGCAATGGTTTGGACAAGTTGCTTCACTCCCCCACTGCCAGGCCATTGCTAGCAACAATGTTTGCTAGTAGTAACAAGTGCATCGCTAGTAGTAACAGGTGCCTTACTAGTAGGAGCAAGAAGCTACTAGGAACAAGTGCCATTGCTATTTGTGGTTTGCTATATTCTGTTTTCCCCTTTTTCGTCCGAGGCGCCGCCAGATCACAGAGCGCCGGAAGAGCTGCCTATTGCGCCGTGCGACTGCCCGATGGTTCCGTCCAGCTGACGCTCGGCGGAAAGCGCTGTGGGACCTGTTTGAAACGATGTCGGTCGGTTTGAAGCTGTGGTTACCTCGCACAGGTCTTGAGCCAAACGTCGAAATCTTTGTGTCGTTTTGTACACTTCATCGTGGCCTTTTGGCCCTTGGGACGTCGCGGGATCGCCTTTCTGGTCTCGACGCTTCCCCCGTGCTTCTTAACCTCGTCAATAGCCCTGCAGCGTCAACCCTTCTCACATAGCAAAACCTCCCGAAGCCGACCCTGAGAGCAAGGTCCCCGAAACCGTGCCCTGCAGGATCTCCTGAAAGAAGGAATAGCCCACCCAGGAATCTTCACCACTCATCACCGGTGCCGGCATGCTCCGCCAGTCATCTTCGCGGATCATTTTTCCCCCATGATGGCTCCAAATCACCGTCGTCCGTTGGCTCTTTTTGGGGGTGTCTTTTTGTGGGTGGGATGGAATGGTCGTTTCCGTGGTTTGACATGATGCCGCACCCACCAACCATCCACCAATCGCCCCCGCCGGTCTTGGCCTTGAGAAGGAAGTGAAAACGTTCTCCACGTCCAAGGAGGTCCCTGGCCAGGCGCTGGCCCGAAGCCTTCATGGCCGCAATCCTCAGCCTCTTCCCACCATGGCGCACATCGACCGCGTAATCGGGGAGCCCTCAGGGCCAGGGCTGGGTTCGAAAACAGGCTCATCCTCTGAGGGTGACAGATGCATGAATTGCGGGGTTCATCTTCCCTCACCCGGTTTTGATGTCCATACGGTGGACCTGCATGCTCCGTTCTTGGCTTTCCAGCCACTGCCATGCCCTGTGCCGCCCTACCTGCCGCACCCGAAGGCTGCCATGTCAAAACCCCGGCAACCCTCCTACCAAAGCAGCGATCCCAACTTTGGACCCTCACGGAAGTGCCATCGAGCGGCACTCCAACCGGCTTCATCTGAAAGTCCACCAAGTGCTGGCCGGGATATGCACCACTCCAGGCCCCCCCCCAACTTGACTCTTTCTCGGTCTCGTCCACAGGCCATCAGGCGCGTCGATCCTCAACCCAGTCCAAAGTCCAAAGCTCGGGGACGTAGTTCACCTGGTTGCGAAGCGCGGTCCTCGGGCAGGCTGCCCTCGTGTATCACGTGGTGGCGTTCCCATCACAGCTCCTGGCGTCCCTTGCCCTTCAAATAGTCCCCCAGCAATTCCGTTCAGGGTTTTCGAGAAGTGGTCCAAGTAGTCACTAAGTAGTCCATCGGGCACCTTGAAGGAGCTCGAATGACTACCTCACTGCATCCTGGAGTGGTCCAACTCCCAAAACCTCCGCTCGTGGATTCTGAAGGACCTTCAGGACTCTCGCCATCCCCTGGCCTTATGTTCTCCTCCATGGACTCCAGCATGTAGTGCGCCTCCTGCCGCCGCCCGATCATGCCCTTGAGCTCCGCTACCTCCGCCGCAGCCCCCGCAGCCAGCCTCCTAATGCCAGCCTCTTCTCCGGCCGGCATCGAACTAGCTTGTTTGGACCTTCGCTCTTCCTTGATCAGGCGGTCCAGCTCTGGTCTGCGGTCTCCTCCGCTGGCTCCGCACGATCCACCCGTGGAAAAAACACGGCCCCGTTTGGGCTCATAACCAGTGGTTATATATGACCTCGCACAGGTCTTTTCGTCTTGAGCCAAACGTCGATTTGTGCGTCATCCGTTTTGGATTCCAGTACACTTCTTGATTGTGCATTTCGATAAGTCAAGAGGTGGGAGGCATGGTGACATGACCAACCAATCACAGAAGCAAATTGATTTAAAAATTCAGCAAAGAAGTCTTTTTTTATTGACACATGGTTGGCATTAAGGTTTCGGCTTCGTGAGGAGATTTTTTCCTCCTTTAGGCCAAGCCCTAGCGTCGCACCCGTGCATGGGCGGACGCGCAATCGAGTGGCTCTTGCTCTTTGCTTTGCTGCTTCTTTTTCTCGGTGGACACCATTGCCAAGGAACCGACTTGGCACCGCAATCTCCGACGCAGGAGGTCCACGGCTCGAAGGCGGCTCCGTCGAGGACTTGCCAGGTGGACGATACTGGACACACGTGCTGCAGATCTGCTCGAGAAGCATCACGGCAGCCAAATGCCTTCCCAATTGGCGGATGCCCAATGGAAGTGCGAATGTGGGAAAGTTCAGTCCAGCCGAGCTTCATGGTGCCAAGGGTGTGGGACACACTACTCATGCGTCCAGTGGGTGACTGTCCCAAACCGTACAAGGTCCAAGTCCAACAGGAAGAAGAAGGCGGCGAATGGAGAGGAGAGCAAAGAGAAGAACAAGGTGGCAAAGGTTGGGGGAGGATCTTCGACCCTGAGTCCCTTTGCAAACACACCACCCAAGAGTACGCCATGGAAAGATGCCACTCCCACGACCAGAGTCAAGCTAGAGACGACCACTGTGGAAGAGATCGACAAGGATGTTGCAACAGCTGCAACTTCTGCAGCTGCTGGTGGGCCTGGGACAGAGTCTACCAGCGCACCTCCTACCGATCAGTTCCGTGGCCGTTTGGAAGAGCTGTTGACGATCATGGGAGATGCCGCTCCAGAGGCACTCAAGTCAGAGGTCCAAAAGTTCCTCAGTCCGATGGCAGGCAAGGACAAGATCAAGCACCAGCAGATCACCAAGATCGACAAGCTGGAGCGCCAGATTGCCAGCACACAGAAGGAGATCGAGGAGATGGACCAGAAGTGGCAAGAATTTGTGCAGTTGATGCGCAGCAAGATGGAGCGTCAGAAGCAGGCATATGTCCATCAGCGGGAAGAGAAGATCCAAGCGCTGGAGGGCAAGACTGTGATGCTAGCCAAGTTACAAGAAGAGATTCGCAAGGCAGCCGAGGCTCAGCCAGAGGTGGTCAAACCGAAATCCATGGAGGCTGTGGCTATGGAAGTCGAGGAGGCCGAAAGCTTGCTCAAGGCTGGAATGGAGGAGATCAAGAAGAGAGATGCACTGCTTCCGTTTGGGAACCCACGTGGAGCCAAGGTGCCCAAGCTCTCTGCGACGGAGGCGCCTCTGCCAGCCGATATGGAAGAGCAGCTGTGACCTTCTGGCTGTCTTGGAATGCTAGGATTGGGCAGATCTTCGAGGTTGTTGAGAACAGCGGAAAGAATGGGCTTTTTAGTCGCTGCTTGGACAGTAGGCGACTCGGAGCTTTGTCTTTGGTGTTTTTACTGTTTGGGGTGGTCACTACCCTAACCAACATGCTCTTTGAGGGGTATAGAGCTTGTTTGGTTCCCCTAAGTGCGCCTTTTTTGGCTGCATGGGGCTGGGGGTGTTCCATCTCTTTTCCAGTGATGACATCCGTGACAGTGCCACGAAGTGCTGTTTGGACAACCTGCAGAAGGAGAAGGTTGGGATGGACACTGGCCCCTTGGTGGATTCTTTTCCTTTGCTTGGGAGCTGGAGCACATTCGGATGAGGCAGGAGGTGATGGATTTGTTGGAGCAGACCTACCAGTGGGGAATATCTCTGGTGGGCACCTTTGTGAAGAGGCTGATGGCCGTTTCGAGGAGCTGATGGGTGAGAATGATGTTGTGACCTTGGTTCAACAGCCTTGGGCGGCTGTGGGCTCATTCTCATGCTTCCTCTGACTCTTTGGTGCCGAATTTGCAGAGTCCCAATTTTGCTGGGCGTTGTATTCAAACGTTTTTTCCATCATCACCTTGACGCCAACCAATTCATGCAGAAAAGGGGAACCATGAGACGAAAGGCATGCTTGGTTTGCCAGCTGAGAAGTGCCTTTGAGGATGCCAGTGAAGGATATCCCATTCAGTTGATCCCTGTGCATGAAGCTGGGGGGATTACTGGGGAGATCTACATGGTCACGACGGAGGGATCCTTTCCGGGACATCTATTCCTTGTGGATTTCTTTGTTGATGAGGTGCTTGATGCTCGAGGTACTGTGTTGTTTCGAGAAGGTTGGGACCCCTTTACTACTGAGCGCTTTTTTGAGCTACTTTCACCTGCAAACCAATGTGCGAGTTCGGCAATTTGTTTTGTTGAGCTGGCACAGGAAAGATGGACATGGCCACATCCTTTTCAGGCACCATCTGGCAGCCGTTTGAGGATGGTGGAAATACCAGAGCGGGGGGATGAGAATGAACCCTCAGATTGCAGCACCTGGCTCTCCACTGGGAGCTCTACTAGTTTTTCTAGTTGGCCTCTGAGAGGTCATGGGATGCCGAGCCGGGACCAGCGCGCCTAACACCTGGGCGCGGTGGCTCACACCCAGGGGCCTGGCCTGGCTCTCCGGAGGCATCTGACTTTGAGGATAGGCGAGACGAGCAGAAGGAGGGTCATGGTGATGAGGGGATCTTTATGCAGTTGAACATGGACTCTTCCCCACCCACTACGTTGCCTACCAGATCGCCGGAGGTGACTGCATCTCTTGCCAGTAGTGGACCGCCACCGGTAGACAGACCTCTGCATTATACTAACTTGGATGACAATGTGTGTGTGGTCAGAGGCTTTCTCTTGGACTATTGGCGAGGCCTGCCATGGAATTCAGCTCCTCAACACTTGCTGGTACATTGTATTGCTTTTTGTGGACGTTCCACAAGAGCCTTTGAGGTTCAATGCCCAGCGAGACTGTTTTTGGCAGCACATCCATTCCGGGACTTGAGGATTTGGTGTCAGCTTCAAGCACAGCCGAATGAGGTCGACCATTTCCGTGTATTCCCACTGGCATATGAGATTGCCCAGAACACCCCATCGCTCTTGATGGTGGACAATTGTAGGGGTATGGATGTACCGATAGCTGTGCGCTATGAAGCTCCTGACGAGACCTATCTCTTGACCTATGTGGCAACACAAAGTCTACAAGTTCATAATATCATACGATGGGTTGGTCTGCACGCTGACATTCATCATGAGTTGGAGGTTGAATGGAATGGTCTGCAGATCGACTATTTTCGTGTGGTGACATTCAGGCCTGGTGATCTACTGTTGATTCGTGCCTTGCCTTTTGGAATTGGAGGAGGGGCTACGCCTAC